CCTATCTGATATTTATAGTTAAAAATATTTTTAAATATTTGACCTACATTTAAGTAACATTTTAGGTCTATTTTAATAACACTCATCTTTGTCAAAATAGCACATAAATATATCCAGTAAAATATAATGCATTTCATTAACATGCATTTGTATTGGAAATGGTAATAACATTTAATTTCTGCTGCTAACAATGTAATGGTGGCATATCTATTATGTACGGGTTGAAAATAATCCAGTTTATATTATGTTCAAAGACAGATGCGTTTGTGAATTATATACTATAACGGCTTGCCGTACTTCCTGCTCCTGTGTGACTCGTATCTGCAGCGGTTCTGATCCGTAGCGCTGCAGGATGCAGAACAAACAGGATGGTGGGGGCTTTTCATCCGCTTGTAGAGTTTAGTCTTTCTTATTTTTATGATCATCATCATATATTTGTCTGTGTGCCACTTGATCACGAGACTGCTACCCGTTAGCTTTAGCCAATCTGCACTTTTGATCCCAAACTTTGGACCAGTTCTGCATTTGTGCTTTTGCTGGTTCCTTTATTTTCCTCAATTGCATTCAGATTACCACACTGTGTACTAGTAAAAAGCATTTTTCTTACATGTAACTTACTTTTGTTCAATAAAGTTCTGGGGAAAATAGTAATTCAAAGATGTTGCACCAGTGCTACGTTTAAAAATAGACAGACGCGCACAGACAGTTACAGCCCTGCTCCAATATGGAAGAGCCTGGGGGAAAATCAGGACGTTAATAGCACCAACCATCGATATGTACCAAAGCGAGAAAAGCAATTTTTGATATTTTTCTGCAGCGGTTTTAGCGCTTTTCAGTGCACCGCTGCTGATACAGCGCCCCTGTAGTGGCGCAACGCTGCAACTGCAGTTAAAATAACATCCATATAGTTGGGGGCAGAGGGAAATAAGGCTGGACCGGTGTCGGTACAGGATCTGCTCGGGTGCAAGATCGGCTCGGGGTCCTTCGACTGCCGATGACGTCAAAGTACGGCAAACCCACTCGGACAAAATACACTACACATCTATACTGTTGGAAAGAATTTAGCAATTTCGTTATTAAAATAATGTTTCTTATGATGTAAGTTTGTGTTTATAATAATGGTATTTGTAAAATAAAACACTATATTGTAGTCATAATGTTGAACTCCTCTTTGAGCACATCCCTTGAAGGATCATAGGTATTAGCAACACCTGTGAAATTGTATTTGCAGGAAAGAAGTGTGTCCCATTTATTGAAGTATTTTGTGTTTAGTTTTTGACGTCTTGTCCATGCGTAGTTCAGTTACGCTCATAGCTGCTAGCCAAAACTCTGGAGTTAAAAGTTTTCTGGCTTTACTAAAATACCTGTCTGTACTTATTTGATTGATGGTGGTTTTACTTTCTATTAGACTCCAAATGTAATCATTTGGCACGTTTCTAATTCATAATTTGTAAGAATGTAATCGGTGATATTAGCATTAGCATTCCTATTGCTTTTTCCACGTATATTAGCATTGCGCTAACCACTCGCTGCCAAATTGCAGCCTTTGTGATTAGAAAATCTCCTTTTGTCACATCGCAATTTAATTGCACATGCAGTTAATCGTTCAGCCCTAATATACATGCAGCTCTATGCTAAAAGTGTATTTTCAAAGAGGTAATGATGGATTTCTTTGTAAAAGTTGTCCAGCTTTCCAACAGAAAGATTTGCCTGGACCAACGTAACGTGATAACAACGTAACGTTATTACGTACTTCCGTAAGGTTCATGTTCAGCCAATCAACTACTTTGACGTCATCGGCAGCCGACTGACCCCGAACCGATCTTGCACCCGAGCAGATCTTGTACCGACACCGGCACAAAAATAGCTGGAGGTGGCCGCCATGCTAATTTGAATGCAGGAAAACCCTTGTGTACTGTAAATAAACTGTGCAACATAGTGGTCAAGTTTGTCAAATAGGGCACAGATAAAGCAGAAAACAGAACAAAAAATTACAAAGTAGAACAATCAAGGGCACAAACATCAGACGTAAATATAATATGTTAATAGAATGACAAATATTAAAATGTTAAGATTACAATTTTACTTTACTAAATATTTGTAAAGTCAACCTCTTGAAATATCACTTCTTCCATGGTTGGGGAAGGCAAACTAACCTGGAGGGACTTGTAAATTGCCACAGCCAAATCACCATCATCTTCATCATCATCACTGCAGAGACAAAAACAATGTTAGAATATGAACTATAAAATATTTTGTTATAGCACCAAAAGCTTTATGAAAAAAGAAGGCTGAGTAGGAAAGCCAAGTCCAGTAAAATAAAAGCTAATGTGTGCACAGTGAGAAAAGACACATACACAGGTGTTAGATCAGGGGTCTGCAACCCGCGGCTCTGGAGCCGCATGCGGCTCTTCCATCCATCTGATCCATCCTCTCTGTGCTTGTAAAATAATGAATGGATATTTAAATAAAATGCTTTATATTTTACGGCATTAATTTTACATCTGTAAGCCAATTCTATGTAAAGATTGTCTGCGTAAACCTGAACAGGCCCAACCCGGTCTTACTGTGAGTCCGGGTTGACGCATCACGCATGTGCGTAATCATATCGGCGCTTTCTGAGCTGAAGAGGATGTGAGATTCTGGGATTCTCCTCAGACAGCTCCTGGATGTGTCGCCACATTGGAGACAGGAACAAGCACTATTCAGCCAAAGTTTCATAATCAGGGAACATTTTCTAAGTGACAAGCCTCGCTTCAGTCGGAGGAATCTTCCCGCATGCGCTCTGGTTCTGCGACGCGCTCAAAGCCCCTCTCCACATCTTCGGCTCGCTGTGGACCTTATGTAGTACACGCTGACAGTGAGCTGCGCTGAGCAGTGTCCAGCTCAGATGTTCAGATGGGAATCTTTTCTTGAGTGATTTAGCGACATCTACGATGTGCTTAACGAATAAAATGTCTGTTCATCTGCATGCGTCGGGGTAATTCTTTCTATTCTTTCTCCGCCAAAATAAACGGTCAAATACGGGAACTGTCCGGTCAACACAAGCCCTGCTTTTAACTGTTCTGTTTTCTTGTGAAAATTGTTGCAAAGAGTTTTATTGATTATCGTCTTATGAAAGATAACTTTGACGTACACAAGAGACCGGTACTGGCTGCTGTCACCTGTTGTGATTGGTTGAAGCAGCTGTCTGCTGTGGCTCCCAGTGTTTTCTTTACAGTGGGCAACGGGTAATAATGGCTCTTTGATGGGAACAGGTTGCCAGCCCCTGTGTTAGATGGTGTTTCAGGAAACACTCAGGGATTCATGTTACTATGCTCTCCAAACATTGAGAAAGCATGCATGAGAGATACTGTCGGCGCCAAAAAGGTCAAGAGGTCATCTACAAAATGTATTGAGTTGAAACTGAGTTCTTAGGTTGAAAGCTTATCGAGATGTGTTCTCTGGTTAGAGTTTGTGCGCTGTTTCAACATCAGCTCCAAAGGAATTTCCTGTTTAGGTCTCTGCCTGCTTCCAGTAAAAGCTAGATGCTTATCTTACTTGCTAACAGTAAACTTGATGTGACTCCAAAAATGTTCCTGTGTTCCAGGCAAGAAGTCTCCACTCATAGCCTCCACGAGATGTGCTACCAAATATGGTCTGGTTCTCGTCTGTTGACTGTGAGCTGGAATGTTCAAAGAGTGGGGGCTATAAAAGAAGGGAACCACTCGTGATTGTCTTTGTCTTTTGGCTGTCCTGAGCTGTGAGCAGATGAATAAAAAGACCACGCTGTCTGGCTGAGAACTCCGTCTCCGACTCCTTCTTTAAGAATAACAGAAAATGCCCACAATACTTTCTGGTGTCTTACCTTCACACCCCAAAACACCGACAAGGAGCATGACATATTTCATGGTTGGTCAAACCATTACAAGCCATTACCTAAATGATAATAAATATCATAAATTTAAGTAAAACTTGGATGTGTTCTACTTTTTTCCTTCTTAGTTTAATGCTTAGCTGAAGTATCTGATTTGGACTCAGAACTGGCAGATACTAAAAATCAAATGAGTTTGATTGGGAGCAAAAAAAAATTTGCTTGGAAATTCCGTAGTGTTGGGTTATATGTATAACTTTCCAACCTTCCATCGTCAGTCCAATAAATGACTGTGCAATTCATTTGTGCATGTGACTCAATGTAATCATGCACGGAATGATTGGACAACACAGCAGAAGTCCAAACATGGAATCTTTTAATGGAAGCACATTGAATATTTTTGCTGGAAGAGACATCTTGATTTTTCTGAATTTTTGTTTAATTTTACACTTGTTGTTTGGTAGAGTAACATATAAATGGTCCGGATTAAACACAGTTAGTGTTAAAATCCAGCTTAATCGTTATTTTCCTGCAGCATCCGCCATTGTGCTATTTTATTTAAATGTAAATTTTTCTGAGCAAACGCTACTGGATAGGGGTGTGCAAAGTGCTTTTGCTTGCTGCCAGAGGTCACATGTTCCATTTTCCTTTCACTTTTGTTTTTAAACTAATAATAACACACATTTAATAATACCATTAATCTCCATAATTTTTTTTTTTATTTGGTCTAAAAAAGCTGAATCCCGTGGGCTCGTAACATATAAACAATGTGGCCAAAACGCAAATTTCATCTACTCCGGCATAAACCTGAATTTGGCACCTGCCTGTCTGTAATCAAGTCTCTCTTAGAAGCATGCTGAAGAGACTTGTGAAGTTCTGGACTTTTGACTCAAGACACTCATGGCGGTTTAAATTTTGTCCTGATAATTCAGCGCCCCGCTGACACACGGGATCTGAGCGGATGACGGAATATCGGGTGCTACTTAAGCCAAAGTTTTAAAATTGGGAAACATTTATCAAAATTAAATAACCAGGAGTCTATCAGATTCTGTGAAAGAAGGGTTAACACTATCTAGAACGGGAAGCACTCGACATTGTACTCTTGAGCACAGGTCTGTCACAGACACGCTTCAAGCTCCTATTTAGCATGGCGCTTGAGCCCACTCTTAAAAGATTGTGTGAGAAAGTGTGAGAGCGCAGATGCTCTGGTGTGGATCTTGAAGTGATTAGGTTACCTCCACGATGTACTCTTTGTGTAACGTGTTAAATATCTGTGCACCTGCATGTGTCATTAAAGTAGTGGTAATATCCCCCTCAGTCTTACTCCACCCACATTTCATATTTGAAAAATGCGGCCCAAAGAGGCGTTTCCTGTAAGACCGAGAAGGTGGAGCTACAACCGTGATTGACATACTGAAATTTGAATACAGATGGCGACGGAGAGCGACACTAGCTCAGAGCAGTCATTCGAGGTGGAGGACTTTTCCCCACCTTCTTCCCCAGAGTATAGGGAGGAGGGCTTATTGGGGGAAGCAAGCGGTCCTGAACCGTATCTTTTTGAGCCACTAGCTCGTGAGTTGTCAGAGGCCCCTGGAGCCGAGCCAACAGGAGTATCAAGGCATCGAATGGGTCCAGTCTCTGAGTGGTAAGTAGCTTTTAGCCACAGTTAGCTATATTTAGCTTAGCTAAAAGTAATATTGTATGACTGCCTCAACAGGTGCACCTGCGGCTACTGCACATCATTGTCTGCCAGAGAAAATGTGTGCTGCAGAGAAACGCCCAAGGTATAAAAATAAAAGTACCCCACCATGAGAAAAGCATTCTGTAATGTATACATTTGTTACACAATCACTAACATCATACTAATATTGAACTCTTACAGCCCTGATATCAGTTGTTCTTTGTCGTAGGTAATGCTCAGGTGTCAGCAGGTGGGTGTAACCTCCTGCATAACTGAGCATCCTGGTTTTGAGCCTGTTGCTCTGAATCCCTACGTGTTGCAGGCAGTTTATGGCACCTTTCTGCAACTCTATGGGGAGATGCAGGAGACTAAGCTCAACAGGTAAGACAACTGTCAAATTACTTTTTTTATGAATACTTTATTACTCATACCACCTCTTTCTCAGCTGTTACAGACATCTGGCGTACCGGAATGTGGTCAGGTGGTGTTGGGATTACCTGGGACAGCACGTTCGTGTTGTGATACCGTCATGCGCTGTCTCCAGAATAAGGCAGGAGTTCCCAGAAGACGGTGCATACAAAGGATTCCTCCCTCCTCTGAACTAATATATATTTTTTGGATTAAATAAATGTTATAATATATATTTCCTGTATTGATTCCTGTCCATAAAAAGCTGCATAAATCACTAAACGGTAAATGCACTTCTTTACACTTTGACATTATTTATATATACACACATATAGCCACACACTTTCAAATGAGCTCTTACAACAGTAAGGTTCTAATTCGGGGTTAATTAATGCTGCTGTAACAAGTGAGTTTACACCCTGTGTGATTAATGAAGTCTATTCTAGAGCAGGTTCAATTAGGTAAAAATGAATGATAATTTCATAAATGTGATATATGTATTTATACACATCAAAATGTCAATATAATTGTATTTAAAATGACACAAATGCGCTGCAAAGATAACATTTATTATAGCTACTACTAAGACAATGTTAGATTACAATCTGATCATAACTTTCATGATTTTTGACAAAACTCTAAACCACAAGCAGAGATTCTGGAGCCATGTGAGGATAGGTTGGGCCAACAGTGATGTTTCTTTGGTTCCTTAGACTGGAGGTAGCTTTCACTGTGATGACAAACGTGGAGATGGATCCCAGGAGCACAGGATTTTCTGTTACAAGATCAAGAGGCTCTGAGGAAAAATGGAATATTAGTATGACTGTAGTATGACTTACAAAAGCAAGGCTGATGAGTTTTGCTATGTTACATATGGCCAAGATTTTCAAGTTGTATGGGAGCCACAGAGCAGAAAGGTTGTAGAGATCAATAGACATCTGGGAGGTGGACAGCATGAGTCACGAGTGGATGAGCATAAAGATCCATAATGACGACTCTGTCGTACAGTGGTGAGCAGCCTGGCTGAGGAGGAGAAAAGGAAAAACCACACAGAGTAGAATACTAACTAATAATTACAATCTCTTGTTGTGTAGCTCACCTTACGTGCACTTTAAAACCTGGACCTGTGCCTGCTCACAGCATCCCGTTTATCTGGTCTTTGGAACTGGGCACAGAGCGGTTGTGGAACCGGAATTTTGTCCGAGTACTCCTGATATGGGAGAGGATCCACCACCACAGAGTCGAACAGCAGATCCATAAGCTTGTGCACATATACTGGAAAAGGGTTTTCAGTATTACAATAGCTCTCCATGACCATCATTTTGGTTTTATCATACAATATCTGACATACATGAGGTTGGATTGGTCTTCAGGGCTCTCACTGTGTAGTCTCCACGTTTGTACTTTGGGTACACTACAGCATATCTCAGCTCACCAGTTGCTGTTGCTGCATGTGAGCGTGCTGCATTTTCATTGTAGTGCATTGCAGCAATTTGTAATCTGAAATAATTAAATAAACAACCTATATAGATTTTATGCATAATTCTACATTTCATGATAAAATGTAAACAATTAGAGGCATTAATTCGACCATTTGTTGTATTCATTACCTAGACAGCATTCCTTTGAAGGAGAAGACCTGACTTTTTGGAGTAAATCTGATGATGAGGCTGTGGAAAGCCTCCAAGGTGGATGTGTGGTACTGAGGGCTTATCTTCTCTACGTCCTTCACAAACCGTGGAGCTAACAGAATGGCAGTGAGCTTCTCACATGATGCTGTGCCTACGTAGAAAATGTTAATTACATAAATTACAATTTGATCAACTTTAGAATGTTGCTATTATTTCATTGAGAAAAAGTTACCCATAGCTGACATTTTTAGATGACAAATGTATGAAAGAGTGACTAATAGTGCTGTAGACAGGTGTGGTCATTACTTACGGCATCTTAGTACATATTATGTCAATTATGGCTGTTCTGCCTAAAACCATGAGTTGTGTGGTGCACTCTTGTGGTTAAATTTCTGCACAGCATTTTATTCTTAGTAATTAATTGCTGTTGGCCAAATGGTGGTGTGTGACCTTAGCAGCTACATGTGACGTCTGTAACTCTCATGCTCCAAAAATATTTCTCCATGTTGAAGGAGGTGAAGACAAATATTCTGTTGTGGGGTGACGTGTTTTAAATGTAAATGAACCAAACAGTAAAGGCTCAGCTGTAATGAGTACATGCTACACTTACTTGGTTTGAGCCACTGTCTTGCCTGTTCTCCATCCAGAGGTGCATGCAGACAGCTAGGGAACAGGGCGTTGTCATGGCTGTTCACATTTTGGATGTGGTTGGCAACTGAAGTCCACTAAGCTACTGCCTCCTCTCCTGAGGAGGAACTGGATGCTGACCAGTAGAGGTGGTTCACCACACTTTGCTTCCACAGTCTCACTACCTGGGTCGTCTTTCTCTTCCCCAGCTCTTCGATTTTCTTACCAATTCCTGGAGAGCCAAATAGACCCACATTTAAAATAGGAAAAAAAATCCTGTAATATTCACTATATACATCCCCAAAGATTACCTTTTCCCATGTGCCAGGGGTCAAAGTAGTGACTGATTTCCTTTTTTTCCTCCCGCAAATACTTCTGCACTCCTGTGTGGCGGTCAGTCACAACTTGCTGCACATCGACCCCCCTCTCCAAAAGTGTGCTCAGACTTCACACAAATCCCTCCTTCTCCATTCGCACATTATTTCCAACTTCATTGCTCTGAAAATAAACATAATTCTCCATTGATCTGTGAATAATTAACCATGAAATGCATTGGAATCATCAGGTAATGTTGTACCTGTACAAGTTGGATAACTTTGTTTCTTTTGAGATCCATCATGGTGTAGCTGCCATATTTGACTGAGTGTCCTTCAAGAAATGCAAGTTATTACTTAATTTACATTTGATAGCAAAGGAATAAAATAAATAAATTTAAACGTATTCACCAGGTGAATCAGCTCGCATGTCACCACCAAGAGTCACAGGTCCAGATTCAGTAGCCTCCTGGATGATATCAGCTTGCTCTAGCTGCCACTGCCAGCTCAATGTTGGAATTAACAGCTTTGCCTGATGTCGATAGAATGTCTGCTTGGACAGTCCCTGCACATTGAAGGCACCCAGGAACTAAAATATTAAAAGTTACATCATGAAATGAAAGATGCACAGACCTTATCAAAACTAACATAAACATTTTTGGGCTATACCTTAGAAATCTGGCTAAATGATGAGCCTGTGAAAAGGACAGCAGCACAGAGCTGGAGGTTTCCTGCTGGGATGCTGTTCACCATGGGCTGACTGGACCACTCATTGTAGTGCTCACAGCATGAACACCGTTGTGTCACACGGAGCAGTGTGCCGATTGTCGTCGTGTTCACAACACAACGCCCGGTACAAACGGGACACCTTCTGAACAGCCCCAGCAACTGTTTCTCATAAACAATGTACTTCTTGTCCTTTTGTGGATGGACCTCAGTGAAAGAGCTGTATAGAACACATACATTTATATATATGGTCATATCTTAAAAATTCTAAAATGTTATAATTTTTTTTTACCTTTAACAGTTCACTGAGCTTGCACTGTCATTGAGGTGGAAGCTGGGATCAACAACAGACACCTCACATCTTGGTCTTTTCAGGGGTGTGGACGCAGCTTTGGGACTTTGTGGAAGATGAATTTCCGTCACGGTCCCTGTGTCACAAGACACACTGCGGCTAGGAGCTCTAAACTGTGTGGCTATGTAAAATACAAAGAAGCAGCACATTTATAAATGTTTAAAAGAGCATAAAATCACGTGTAACAATAATCTGTAAAACAAATAAAAACTAGAAGGTAATAATAAAATGTTTACATAGAAGATTATTAAAAATAATTCACGTTTGCTACGTCGGTAAGGCTTTACATGAGCCTGGACAAGTGCATTTTTGCAGATTACTAAATCAGTCTGACAGCCAACGTCTTGGGTAGATTTAGCCTGAAAAAAAAAACAATAGAAGCACATTGTTGTTGGAGTTTATAAAGTCAGATAATATACAAAAGAAACTGTCCGAAATATATATATATATAGGCGCTTTATAACATTCCTAGTGTGTGATCGTTATTATAACGTAAAAGTCAGTCACATATGATGTGAAGAACCTGAAATGCGACCTCCTGAACAGAATTCCTCACAGAACCGGGTCAGGCTTTGGTGTAAAGCTGGATTTCACGCTGTAATGATGTCTGTCAACTAGTGCTGCATTAGAGCCACTGCAGAATTACCGACTGACACAAAAACAACCCGAATTTTCTCCGAGCCTGACAGAAATAGTCATGTGGACCTTTTTGTCGGCCAGGGCTTCGAGAAATGTTCCGATTCGCCGCCGATTCTAACCTTACATCCCGTTCCACATTTTGTGAACTTGACAAATTAGCCCGAAGGCAGTGCAGGCTGATATTAACTAAATAGAGTGAACCACGTCTCTCAAACTTTGCATTTAGGTAGGGAATTGTCTTTAGAAGATGTTAAAACTTTGAATTGGCTTATTCACCTCAGATTGGAGCCCGCCATGGTGGGGGAGCAGAGTCGGTGGGCTGCATCTAATTCGTGGAAGAGCCACGGTGGGCATGGCCTCTGTTAGGTATTTTTATTTGTTCATCTTTGTTGTGAAATCTTTTGTTAAATGTGTTGGGGAAAAACCTGACCTTACTTGCTTTTACGTTTGGGTGTTTTCAGAAACTCCTTTCTGCTTTAGGCATTTTGATCCAGTATCTGAAGTTTTCCTTTGTCCTGTGCATTCTAAGAACAAAGTGTTTTCCATTAGTTAAAAGCAAACTGGTCAGGTAGGAAAATTAGCTCAACTCTAGAAACTTCTCTTGTGATTGTGGAATTTGTGGGTGTGAACATTTTGTATTCAATAAAAGCCCCTCCATGAGCAGTGTTGGGAGTAACGCCGTTTAAGTATAACGGCGTTTCTAACGGCGTTCTTTTAGAGGTAACGGAATAATCTAATTAATTACTTTTCCCGCCGTTGCAACGCCGTTACCGTTACTGGGGACGGAACGCTGTGCGTTACTATGTGCTTGTCGAACGTTGAGCAGCAGCGTGAGGCTTTCCGACCGCCACACTTCAGCTGCAGCCAGGGAGAGAGAGGTGTCGGTAACGCACTTACAAACACGATGATGATTGGCCGGGTGGGCGGAGACCCTCACGGTCTCAGTCGCTGCATTCTGTAGACACAACGGGAATAACTCCGTTTAAAATAACCGCGTTAATAAAAAATATGTCTTTCTGTAACAAGCAAACTAATTAATTACGTCTTCTTTTATCAAAACGTTGTTCCTGTTACTGGTAAGGAAATGCGTGCGTTAAGCAGTGCGGTGTGTGTTGAAGCTGTCGTCAGCTGATCAGGAGCTAAAGAGGCAGATGTTTAAGAGCATTATGGCCCGTGAAGAACGAGG